GACGATGCTGAATAAACAATAATAATAATAATAATAATAATTATGCGTATTCTGTGTCACCCTCGTCCATGCTGTCAATCGGTATGTAAAATATCGTGTGACCGGAATGTATAATTATGGAATTTTTGATGGGATGAGCTGCCTCTCTTTTTCTATTTATTTCCCTCTTCCTCTCCTTTTCCCTCTCTCCCTCTGATTCTCTCTCTCTCGCCCTCTTTCCCTCTACTTCTCTCTCTTCCTGTTCTTCTCTCTATTCCTCTCTCTCCCAATCTCTCCCTCACTCGCCCTCCAAAACTGCACTATCATCACGTTTACAGATAAGCTCCAGCCCAGTTTCCCGTGTCGATGTCCCCTGACCTCCCCTGCCCTCCGACAGCGCGCTCTGGGACATTGAGACGGGCCAGCAGTGCACGGCGTTCACCGGCCACACCGGGGACGTCATGTCCCTCTCACTGGCGCCGGATATGCGCACATTCGTTTCAGGCGCCTGCGACGCCTCCGCCAAGGTAACGGTGATGGGGATGTGACGGGATGTTATGGAAGAAATGCTGATGGGAGTTGCACTTGAGCGGTTCGTTTTTTTCTGTTTTTTTTTTTCTTGGTCTTTTGGTGATATAATTTATTGTTAGCCCCAATGTGCACTGACAATCGTGACACCAAAATATGTCTCCCCAATTTTCTGATGTGAACAGTATTCTTGATGCTACTCCAACCCAGCGAACTGCTGTCAAAGGTCATCTAATGTTTTTTTTTTCTTTCCCATGCCCCCCTCATTTCGACGCTTGTGTCATTTACCAGCATTACCCTTGTTGCCAGAGTTGTTTGACCCTCTCATACGACTCCAGTAGTGCACCCCACTGACTCTGCCCCCGCCTTGCTCTGTCCGGTAGCTGTGGGACGTACGAGAGGGCGTATGTCGCCAAACATTCTCCGGACACGAGTCAGACATCAACGCCATCGGGGTGAGTGACCTGTCGGCCGCAGCTGTGTGCGCGTGCGTGATCCTACAGTCGGTTTTGGGAAGCTTACGATTACAGATTGTCATTGCCTGCTCAAGGGGTTGTTAAAGTGACCATCCCACCTTTACATTAGTTTTGAGTTGAGATAGCCAAATTGGTGGCCATGGCCTGCAAATACCGGTTTGGGCACTCACAACATCGAAAAATGCTTTAATTCGGATATATGGAATTTCAAACTTGCAGTTTTCGGATTCTAAGGGGCTAATGCATTGGAATGCCCCCTTAGAATTTGTGACGTCAGCGGTGATCTGAAGATTTTAAAACCTTATGCTAACATCTTTGTGAAGCAGTGGTGGTATATGCTATTTGCGCGCAACATCTGCCGCAAACGCCGCACTTCCCAAATGAAGTCGCTAAGAATAGCGGAGATCCCAAAAAGATATAAACAAAAGTAAAAGTTTAATATCTTGAAAACTGGTTACGGAGCGAGCGAAGCGAGCGTAGTCTTTCCTTAGATTAACGGAAATTTCTGAGTATGAGCGGCCGGCCGGCCGGCCGTGCGGACGCTTTTGCGAGGCTTATATCTCAGCAACCACTTGACCGATTTACATGCGGTAATTTTTGTAGGGTAGCTTCATTCCTTCTACCAAGTATTGGACTATTCCCGATGCATTTGGGTGACCCCTTATGCACGTGCCACGTGCAAAACGAAGAGGTGTCAGTTTTGTAATTGTTGCAATATCTCGGTAACTACTTGGCCGATTGCGCTGAAAGTTGGCATGTAGGTAGGCACCCACTAGGCACTGCATATCCATGTGCCAGAGTTGGGGTGCTGCTGCACGTGCGCACGTGCAGGGGTCGTTTCCAGATCTCGAGAACGGCTCGACCGATTGCGCTCAAATTTGGTACACGGTTAGGGACCAGTTAGTAGGGTGCCGTGCACAAGTCAGTTGGGACCCATTTTGCACGTGCGCACGTGCAGGGTGCCGCTCCCAGATCTCGAGAACGGCTAGGCCGATTGTGCTCAAATTTGGCACATCGCTAGAAACCGGTCAGTAGGGTGCCGTGCACAAGTCAGTTGGAGGTACCCCCTCGAAATTTCGCACGTGCAAGACTCACCCCCTCGCTCGCTCCGTTAGTCGCCCCAAAAGGCGCTATACTGGTGAATATTTTTCGGTGAAATTTGGTAGATATTCGTTTTTGCTCTTTCTGAACCGAACGACATCTCTTTCATGCCAATTCATTAACTTTTTTGAAGGTGAGAGGGTCCCTTTAAGCAAAGACAGATAAGAATCGTTTGAACTTCGAAGCCAGACGTCTCTATCTTTGTATCGATATCTTCTCTTTCAATTCTAGTTATGCATTTTACGAAAGCGGATTAATTTGAATCGTAGATAACAAAATGGAACTTATTGTGACAATGCTCTTCATACAGCTGCTATCCATAGTTGTCTATGCTGCAGCTCTGATGTTTCCTATCGCACTTAGCGCGTGCCCACGGCCACCTCTCCCATTCTGCTCGGCGACCATTTCTCACCCCACCCTCCCTCGGCAGTTTTTCCCGAGCGGGAACGCGTTCGCCACGGGTTCGGACGACGCCACGTGTCGCCTGTTCGACATCCGCGCCGACCAGGAGCTGGCCATGTACTCGCACGACAACATCATCTGCGGCATCACCAGCGTGGCGTTCAGCAAGTCTGGCCGCCTGCTGCTGGCCGGATACGACGACTTCAACTGCAACGTCTGGGACGCCATGCGCACAGAGCGGGCCGGTACGTGCGGTTGGAGGGGAGAGGGGGGGGGGATAGGGGTTCAATTTAACAGTCAACTGCAGTGGAGAACGACCAATCTGGGACGCCATGCGCACAGAGCGGGCCGGTACGATACGCGATAGTGTGGGATGGGAGGGTGCTTGTGTTGAAGGGGAAGATATGCGTCTCTTTCTGCTCGTCTCCTCTACACTGATATGTGGCTCTCAGTTCCGATTGAAATTCTGATAGTCTGATGCAAATTTGGACTTGTTGACGAATTCACTTGTTGGTGTGCACCAGCAGGTAGTCCATTTGCTTTTTTATCTTTCACTCGTTATTTTGTCACAAAATAAGAAATTGGGTTTGAAAGGATAAAACGCATTTGAGATCTTGCGGGCGTCCGATTTTCACTGCGCATTTTCTTAGCTGCCTCGCTCCATCATTTCAAAGTTCACCTTAACACTTCACTATCGCGTGTATTGGCTGATGACCACCTCTCTCTGTTTTAGGCGTGCTGGCCGGTCACGACAATCGGGTCAGCTGTCTGGGCGTCACAGAGGACGGCATGGCCGTCTGCACCGGCTCCTGGGACAGCTTCCTCAAAATCTGGAACTAGCCGGCCGCCCGACACAGCGGCCGCCGCCAGCCGTCGCGTGCGTCAGTATCGTTTTATTTTGGCTTTTATCTGGGAGCCGCGTGGCCGGCGTCTACGCGGCGCGGGCAGGAGCGCGGACAGCGCCGAGCTGATGTCCGCCGCGCCGCCCCGCCGCCGCCTCGCCGCGCTACCTCTGTAGAGTCTTGTGTTTAACGGCAAAATAATCATCATGTGATTTGCTGTGAGGCGTCGGTTATTTATAATGTGCCGTTTGCCAGGTGTTGGTGCGAGCGGCGCGGCGCGCGCCGGGCGGCTGGGTCCGCCGCGGCAGCGCCGCCGGCTGCCCCACCCGGAGGACTGCAGCGCGGCCGAACAACATCTCCAGGGCTCAGGGCCGCGCTGCTGTCAGCCGGCTGGGTGCGGCCGGCGCCGGGCGCCGCCGCCTGCCGACCGCCGCGCCGCCGCCGGGCCGGCCGGCCGCCGCCGCCGACCGCCGCGCCTCCCCCGCCTGTCCCTTCGGGCGGCGCCGCGCGGCCGGGGCGGGCGGCCGACCGGCGCGGCGGCGGCACCGAGCGTCCGGCGCAGGTCGCCGCCGCTCGCCGGCCGCGCGCAGTCTGTTCATGTTCGTGTTTCTTATACCGAGGGTAGAGCTGCGCGGCGGGCCTGCAGCCGACGGGGCCGAGAGAGAGAGAGAGATAGCTTTTCTAGGGGTGCCGCCGCTCCGACCGGGCCGGACCGGCACGGCACGCGCGCGCCACCAGACTCGGTTCCCACTCGGCCTATGTTCCTTTGACGAAATTTTTACGCTATAGCTTCTATATCGTTCGTGGATTTTGTCATGTAAGGAACCATCCGATTTGTCCAATAAAATACTTGTCTTTACGACTGTACTGTGTGGCCTGGATTTCGGGATTAGACATCGTGATTGTGGGGGATGTGGAAAAGGATAAGCGTCTCAACGCGACGCTCGTCGACGGCTGAGCTTTTGTTATCACTTATCAGTCGTGGCATGGGCAATGGGTTTTGCAGCATGGCAGTGACTGCTGGGGAACGGCACAGCCACATACCAGTTTGTTATTAGCGCTGTCAGCCGGCCGAGAGCAGCGGCTGCTGCAGATACTGTCTAACGAGGAAACTGCCGTCCCAGAGTCACGTTTCAGTTTCGGATCAGTCTCGCGGTGCAGGCTGAGCTGTTCACGTTTGCGTCACATCTAAATTCTAATAGGTGAGTTTTAGACAGCGGTATCACTGATGTCTGTGGGGATATCTTTCATAGCATTGCGACTTACATACATCCACTGTATTTCCTACGGTCAATAATGGAGGCTGAGGTGTAAGGTTGTGCTTCTCGCGCTTCTAGCCCTAGGTATCTTGCTTCTAGCTTCGTGGCAGATCATGACCATGACGTAGTATTCTATGACCGTGTGGCAGATGCCGAGGTGTCGCAGCGGCGGATGGATGGGGCAACAAAAAGGAAGAAAAAGACTATTGAGGCATTTATGACGTTTGTGACGCAGCCGCAACCATTTGTTGACAACGCTTCAAATCATTGTTTCTTTCCCGAAGTTTTTATGTGGTTATTTTTCTTTATTCAGTGTACTTAGCAATATTTTTCGCAAATTATGTGATGGGGACAATACCATCGACTTCTGGCATATTGATATTCCATTCTTTGTTCCATTAACTCAAGGCTATGTAAACCTTTAAACCCAAGGATGTCAATGTTGTGGTTTGGTTTGTTGGTAATAAACAGAATGAGAGGGCACCCGCACATTTATTTCAATTTAAAATTTTGATCAAAACCACTTAAATGGAATGCTTCACAAGAGCAGAGTCCCTTCTATTCAGAGTTTGTTGTGTTGGCCCTGCCCTCTACCGAGGCTATATAAACCCACTCTACCTTCCAATTGTGTAGTTCCTTCCCACCGCAGTCGACACGCCCGTAAACCCTAATAAACAAACAAACTTCTTTATGACAGAATTTAGGGTCTGATGACATATGTACGCACATAGCCGCACTTGGCTGCTCTGGGGTCCCCCACTCACTTCAGGGCCCTGTTTCACTGATACACTGCTACAGTTCACCACACGTAGCGGTGTATTGATGCGGCATTTGAGACGCATTTGGCATTGCGAGCATCAGAGTCTGTTGATGTTTCCATGGAAATCCAATACACCACTACGCGTAGCTCACTGTAGCGCAGTGCTGTGAAACAGTGCCCAGATGGCTATGGCCTGCCAACTACAGCAACCATACCCATCAGGAGAGTCATAAGTCATGGCAATGAGTGCCCATCACTCCTCAGACCCCAGGCTTTTGCAACTGGGAGGCAAGACATGTGCTCTGACCACACAAGGTCCAACACTCTATTCACTGAGCTACAGGACCAAACAATTGGTACTTTTAATTGCAGTAAGCACTACCTTAAGTGAATATTGATGATTTTGTTTTGTGAAGTAGTGATGTTTTCCCTAATTAGCAGGCTAGTTAGCCCAAATTTGAGGCTTTGCAAAGTTTTGCAGCATTTTCCAGTCTGTTTGGTGTGGGTTGGTGTGCAGTGTGGCTCCCAAGCTAGTGCAGCTCTGACTGTTGCAATGATTTGCAAATTTTGATGTTTATTTTCAGTGAATGGTAGTGCAAACATTGTACACATTGCTTATCATTGTGAATTATTTACCTTGCCATATAACTTAGATGACTGATTTAGTCTGTTGGGCTGATAAAGGGAAATGCAAAGATACAGATACGATTCATGCCTGACTGCAGTTCATCAGGAGATATGATTAGATCATTTTTACAATTTTCATGGTAAACACCTTCTACTGTGCTCATTTGTAATAGCCACAGACTGTTTGATTGGAGGCAGGAGCTAATAGCATCCAAATCAAATGGATGTAATTTAAGGTGCTTCAGGCATTCAGATGCTATTACATGGTCCATATAAACATAAGCCATGCATAAATGCATTGATGATAATATTTAAAGGTCATGGTAACATGGTGTGCATATTCTAATGATCACATCATCTCAATTATTCACCCATGGCATTCATCATTTTCTACTTTGTTTCAGGAAAATAGCTTCATTCACATGACTAAGTGAAGATGAAGTAAACATAAAATCTCAAAACTGATCTTGTGATAATAGCAACATTCCACTGTAAGAATTTTTTATTGACTGTTCTACTCATATTGTGGATTCAGTGTTGCTACAGTGAATCTCTTTGACACAAGATGGCTGATGATCTCTCTATGACTGATGAGCCCAAGACTGGCGAGGATGGCACGATCGAGTTCAAGGAAGACAAAGAGGTGACGAAGGCTCGTCATGACATCTTCATTCAGGAGATCGAGGCGATGGACGACTACTGGGGCTCGACGTTCCGCACCATTTACACCAAGGAAGAGCAGGAGCAGTTTATGCAGGAGCTTGACGAGCGCACGCGCGAGCACGACAAGAACATCGAGCGCATGTGCAACTTCCACTACCGGGGCTTCATCGACTCGATCCGTGAGCTGCTGCAGGTGCGCACCGAGGCTAGCAAGCTGAAGCGCGAGGTGGTCGGCGTCAACCAGGAGCTGACGGACGCCTCCCGCCAGCTGCTCAGGCACGGAGACGCGCTTTGCAAGGCGCGCCGCGTCCAGTCCAACATCCACGAGGGCATCGAGGCTCTCAAGGCCTGCCTGCCCGTGCTGGAGACGCACGCCCGACTGAAGAAACAGATGGCGGAGAAGCGCTTCTACCCAGCGCTGAAGACGCTGGAGACCCTGGAGAGCACGATGCTGCCGAAAGTGTCGGGTCACAAGTTCGCGCAGGTGATCGCCGCATCTGTGCCGAAAGCTCGCGCTAACATCCAGGCGGCAGCCATGTCCGACCTGAAGGATTTCCTGGAGGTGGTGCGCCGCGAGTCTCCGCGTATCGGCGAGGTGGCCATCCGGCACGCGGACGAGCAGTATGGCACCGACCCGGCGGCAGAGGAGCGCGCCGCCAACAAGCGGCACACGCTGGCCTTCCTCGGCGAGGAGCCGCTGGCGCCGGAGACACTGTACCAGACCGAGGGCGATGAGGAGGACGAGCGGGTGGCCCAGGAGCTGGTCAACTTCTCGCCTGTCTACCGCTGTCAGCACATCTTCACCGCGCTTGGCGCGAAGGATACGTTCCGCGCCTACTACGTGAAGCAGCGACAGAAGCAGGCGGGCCTGGCGCTGCAGCCGCCGGCGGGTATGCACGACACGCTGACTGCGCTGCACGACTACCTGCACGGCGTGGCCGGCTTCTTCGTGGTGGAGGACCACATCCTGAACACGACGACGGACCTGGTGACGCGCACGGAGCTGGACCAGCTGTGGGCGAGTGCTCTGGCCAAGCTGACGACGGCGCTGCAGTCTCACGCCGCCTGCCTCACGGACGCCAACACGCTGCTCACCTTCAAACAGCTGGTGATGGTCTTTAGCCACGCGCTACGCAACTACGGCTTTTCCGTGCAACCGCTGCACGACCTGCTGCTGGAGGTGCGCGACCACTACAGCGAGGTGCTGATGCAGCGCTGGGTGGCCGTCTTCCGCGACATCTTCGACAAGGACAACTACCACCAGGTGCAGGTGGACACGACGCGCGAGTACGAGCAGATCCTGCAGGTGTTTCCCTACTCGAGCGAGGCGCTGGAGAAGGCCCCGCTGCCGCGCCGGTTCCCCTTCTCGCTGATGGTGCCGAAGGTGTACTCGCAGGTGAAGGAGTTCATCCACTCGTGCCTGCGCTTCTCCGACGGCCTGAACCTGAGTCAGAGCGAGCGGGACGACATGCTGCGCCGCTCGACTAATGTGCTGCTGACGCGTACACTGGCTGGGTGTCTGACTACCCTGGTGCGCCGGCCCGGCCTGAGCCTGCTGCAGCTCATCCAGGTGACCATCAACACGATATACCTGGAGCAGGCCAGCGTCTACCTGGAGGACGTCATCACCGAGCTGACCGGGTGAGCGCCGACACCGCGGGCCTTATGCTTGTCTTCCCGTCTTGAACCCTTTCTTTTTGCATCAGTCCGCAAATTTGAACCGAGTAATAACCGAGAATTGAACCGAGAATTTGAGTAATATTGCCGAGTATGCCAGTTCTTTTCATTTCGCAAGCTCATTTCGGATTATTCGTTTAGTACCTAGCAAAGTCTGCTACTAACATTTCGGCAATGCGTGTTTCACTGTTCCAGGGGATACATCTTCTCATAGTTACAACAATGTTATTCTCATTTCTTTTAATCCACTTCATGTGTAGTCACCTCAGCTGGGTCTCTAGCAGTGTCCGCGTACTAACGCATTCATCCATCCGCAGCTACAACCCGAAGCAGGAGGGCGGCGTCCACTCGCGCCTCCAGGGCCGCTCCATGTTCAAAGACGTGCGCGCGGAGACGGAGCAGCAGATCTACATGCAGCTGCAGACGAAGATTGACGAGTTCCTGAGCCTGGCGGCCTACGACTGGCTGCTGGCGGAGTCCGACGGCACGGCGTCGCCCTACCTGGTGGATCTCATCTACTTCCTCAACAGGTGAGGCCGTGGATGGAGGAAAAGGGCCGGCTGTAGACTGTAGATCTGCTGGTTGTTGGACAATGGACGGTGTGTGGGGTGGGAATGAATATGAATAGCTTGGTAACTGACAGAACACTGGACCATCTGTGGTATGAGCTGGGTTATTAGGCTGAGATAGCCAGCCAGTTTACTTTTCTGGTTCTTGTAGAATGTGCTGTTTACTTACCTGCAACAGTGTGTTGTGCTTTTGGAATCAACTTTCTGGCAATGTCTTATAAATGTGTCCTTCCATAATACGTTCTCCCGCTCTGTAACAGCTACTTTAACGCATTCCCCGTCTCGTTACAACAAGTTCACCGTCTGATTTCAGCACGTTCACGGCGTTCACCAACCTGCCGGCCAAGGTGGCTCAGACGGCCTGTATGAGCGCGTGCCAGCACATCGCTCGGGGTCTGCTGGCCGTACTGCTGGGGGAGGAGGTGAAACAGCTCTCCCTGGGCGCGCTGCAGCAGCTCAACCTGGACGTCATACAGTGCGAGCGTGAGTAGACGATGGGAGTGAGAGTTGGGATAAAGGGAGAGGGGCTTGTACGTTTTGCATTTGGTTTGACTTGCTATTGTTGGTTGATTGGAGCTGTGGTTACCATATTACGACAAATTGGGTTGTTGCATGATGGTATTTTCACTTGTTCATTGGAGATGGGTGCATATCCTGCCATACAAATTGTTTACCACTACGATGTCAGAGAGGCCAATTTGCGCCAATTCCTAGTGCATTTACCTTGGTTGACAGAATTGTAGACTGGAACGTCCTTGCTCCTTATCGCAGCCTTCTCAGACGTTTCCGTCTTTATTCATGATAGGGATTCAGTCTTTGTCGTTTGGTCGTACAACTGTCACAATGTCTTGTGGCATACTTTTCGCCGTTCCAAGCCATGGCTCCAGCTCCTTCCCATGTGTTAAAAGAATGGTTGACCACTTACTAGTTATATGAGCCGACTTCCCACCGATTCACCTGCCACCAAGAACCCAGTTTTCTCGTCGACTATGTGACATCCTGGTGCCTGATCCTGCTGCTCTTTTTCATGCTGGCTATTGTGACAGGCCTATGGTGAGTACTCCTTGATGAAAAGAATTTATTAGTGTGAAATTATAATATCACATTGCCTGCAAATTTTCATGAATAGTCAGACGATGGTACCTTTTCTGTAAAGCTTGTGTTTATTATTTCGTCCTACATGGGCTGGTTTGAATTATTGAAAGTGATGCCTATACAATGTAATTATCCTGCGGCGTATGGCATACGTGAGCCAATTTGCTGTCGTCAGATTGGATGATTTTCTCTGTCGTTCTTATGACTTTGTGAATATGTGGCAATACCTTATCCTTTTTGTAAGTTGTCAGCTCAAACGTCTCCTTCCTGCCCTGCGACTATGATCGATATACATACAGCTCACCTCTCAACTCGCCTCTGACACCGCCCCTCCCACCCACAGAGTTTGCCGCCTCGGAGCCTGTGGCCGGGTTCGAGGAGGGCGCGCTGCAGATGTGTTTCGCCGACCTGCGCCAGCTTCTGGACTTGGTCCTCGAGTGGGACTGGACCACCTATTTCCAGGAGTACGGTACTGGGGACGGTCGGTACGGTCGCGTCAGTCCGGCGCGCGCGGCAGTCATCGTGGAGAAACTGCGAGAGGCCGACAAGAGGAACATGTTCTCCGTGCTGAAGAAGGCCGAGAGAGACAGGAAGAAGCTGCAGGAGACGGTGCTGCGCCAGCTGCGACAGTTGGCCGGCAAGGAGCTGTGATGACGGCAGGAGAGACGGACATACTTACAGCCATGAGCCAAACGGACGAACCTGTAACGGGTGGATAGACAGATTGACAGACATACTGACGGTTGGGCGAATTTATGGCAATATCAGAGAACTTGAGACATACTGACGGACGAGCGGACTCAGACTCACTGACTGACGAGTGCACTCGATGTGCAGAGTAAGTTGTAGGGTACCGTGCCTTATTTGGTATCGAAGGGCTTTAAATGCACTTAGCTTGTTACTGAAAAAGAACAGCGGCAGCCTGCGTCGGGTGCTGACACGGTTCTTTGCGCCGATCATTGGGCTGCTCGTACTGTATACATATGACGGCCCAGATCTGTAGGCGGCGCCACTGTAGCTGAGAGGGACCAGAGGCAGCTATCCTTCCATAACCTAGTGTTGGTCTTCCATTTGTACCTTGACGTCGGTGTAGTGATCTGTATTTTGTGGCCGGTAGCACACCAGGTCGACCCTTTTGTCGTCCTGTGTGCGCCCTACGTTTGTTAGTGCCTCGTCATCTCGATATCAGGACAAATTTGGCCATTGAGTGAACGGTTACATTCCCGGGGAAACATTCTGTGGTGAAGGGTTGCTTATTATGTGTGCTGTGCCTTAACGTCGAACAAAACTTGTTGATATATGCAGTACTTAGTTCATGTTTTGTATTGTTCTACGCTTTGTGTAACACCATAGGATCTAGCTATATTCATTATATTCTTTTGTAAAAGCGTTGTATGTCGATAACATTGCCAATAACAGCGCCAATACCTGAGCACCTGCACCGCTAGGCGTTCTTGGCACGGTATTGCTGTCCAGCCGCTGTTAGGTATCGTTCTCTTTCCATGCTTACCTTCTAAAGTCTGTTTCCTGAGCAGCTCTCCATAATATGTACTTAGCACAGTACCGGTTGTGATGATCTTGTTGCCAGCACATGGGCTGTAGAGTGTAAGTCGTTTTTGTATGCGGCTTGCACAGTTTTTACTGAATATCGTATTTTGGCTGGTTATTTTATACGAGCGCACTGTTACTAATATATCAATATTAATGGTTGTTTAAGAAGTTAATGTTTGTAAGTCTTGTTATTCTACTAGAAATACATATCGATGTTTGCAGCACTCCTATTTCAATTTTACTTTGTGATTATTGTTTGCACACCGATGAAATGCTGTCATTTAACGCCTATTCACGCGCATATTGAGGCTTAGATTTCGTTTTACGCATGTCAGCTAGTCTATCTGAATTGCACTCATTGAGAATAATCTCATATCACGTCTTTAAAGCGACGCAGACCTGTTCATTGCCTGTCCTTTCCGGCGTCCTGCCGCTCGTGTGCTTCTGTGCTGTCTTTCCTTCACCTTGGTATTACTGCCGTTACCTGAGACCGTTTCTTTTTCACCGGGTGCTGCATTGCCAATGTTTTCCTCATTCCATCCCGCTCCCGGCTGTTTCATGACCCCCATCTGTCTGATTCGGTTGGTTTCAGTCGCTCACGCTTGGCGGCGCTGCAGTCGTGCTCACTGGGATCTTGGGGCGAAAAACAGGAGACCTTGTGTCGGGATGACGGGGATATTCTCACTCGGCACCGGTTCTGGGACAGTTTACAGCGCCGAGATCGGAACTGAACGGAAAACTAGAACACGATCTTGGAACACATGCATGATTGGCAACTTAGGCGGTTTTGTGCCAGCGGTCTGTGCTCCTCGCATGTTTTTCGGTGTATTCTTTGCACTCAGGCATGTTTTGTGCTTGAGTTATGCATGTAGGCAGTCTCAAAGCACTTATGCTTTAGGTCAATGTGATGGAATTGGATGTTAATGGCTTGGACATGAATCAAAGAGCATTGACGCGGGGTGGTATCTCGCCATACAACCGTCTCAAACGTAATACTAGTGTAAAGAGTTTCTTTGTGTTTTACTGTAGGTATGCCGTACAGAATGAAACCTAACTGAGTTGTTGACGCATAAGGCATTATTGGATGAATTGTTGTTGTGATTACCGTCACACTACCCCTTTGCGATGCTGTTTCCATGGCACAGTCATCATTGTCGCACCAGAGTATCGATGCAAATTGCAAACGTGCACGCAACGCGCTTGGAACTTTGATATATTGAACCACCTCAGAGGCTGCTTCTAATAAGTGTAACATAACCTTCGTGGATCATAGCCTTCGCGGTTCCTTAGATGGTCCGGAGTTACATATGGGATTCGCGGTAACGCCCCTATCATTTCCCACTAACGAACCCGTGTCCTCCCGTTCCCCTATCCTCAGCCCGGGTCGGAGTCGGCTGAGCGACCTGTCCTCGGGCCTGAGCGACCTGTCTTCCGGCCGGTGACCGTCATTGGATCCTTGTGCCGGTATGGGAGAGCAGATGAACGCCGGAAATATCTGAATATCGGCCTGCTCAATCAATGTGAGTACCTACCCAAAGACGACGTCTACATAGATCCTGTTGAAACTTCCCGGGGAACACATGACGCAATGTCAATGTGGGACAGTACTTTGATCGACTCCCGCGGTGATTGGGTCACGTTCCTCTTCGAACTAGCGTTCACTCATGTTTCTTATATACCCGCATTGCACTCGTGTATCGTATTGTCTCGCATTACTTTATTTTGTCAAATAACCAGAACGTTAACCGCAGGAAAGTTGACAAACACTACTCGCTATAACGGTCAACTGAACTAACCGGTGCCGTCCGTCCATGCTCACTAGCGAGGTGCTCGTCGTACCGTGTCGCCCTTCTGTTCAGTTGTCCCAAATCCACATGACCACGGTGAAAACCGCCACAATATGGCTCTTTGGTGGCTGATGGCTCGATCAGAAGCACCGATCCGTTGCAAAAATAGCCACTCAGCGGAGCGACATTCGGCAACATGTGTTGGCTGCCCCGTTTACCGGGTGTTTTCCGTGGCCGTGCTCCTCTAATCTGCCCATATATCTCTCCATTTGAGCGTCCTGGCAACATGTGTCCGCAGCGGGCAGCCGCCGAATCGAGGCGAAACTCTCTCCGGCCCGTCCGCCGTATGTTTGGTGCGCCTCCTGTCGCCGCCCCGGCGCGCGGACGGCTCTGTTGGGTAGTTTGTCCGATTGTCTCTGCTCGTCGCCAGTTGGCCCGGCCGCTGACCCAGTTATCACGTCAAGGTTCACTGCAGACCGACGATCTGGCCCCCAGACGACAGGCCCTGCCGCCCACACGCACACGACTGACGTACGCAGCGCTCAGATTGCGTCGGTACGGTGCGTGCGGTGGGCGGACCGCGCCGTTAGATCTCTGCCGCCCCCGTCTGCCGCGCGACACAGCGCGTGCCGCTGGGTGACTCACGTCTCACGGGGTACGTTGTGCAATGTTGCACGGTATCGGTTGGGGACCACGCGCCGCCCGGCGACCCAGTCCGCCCACGGCGCGCCTGTTACAGTCTGAGAGCTATGCGGGGGTCCGAGACGGCTCCATTGCATGTCGCTGATTTTAGACGACGTCGCAGGTAATTGATGGTTAGAACTTGGATGGCTGAATTTTAGCGACTTTGGTTCGGTTCAGCCTCGTGAAGAGTGATCGAACGATGAGATATGTCGGCTTCATATCCTACGAACTAGTTATCTTATCGAATCGTCCGATCTCGTCATCATTTAATCCAATCAAAACCTGGTGAACGGTTCTCACGCTCCGCTGACATGAGATCCATCGCGGGTCTTATCTGGTCCCTTCGAGCAGTTGCATATCGCATCGAACGGTGATCCATTGTCGCTATCCTGCTGCATCAGAGTGAAAACGAAGGCGGCAGCGATGTACCAATGTTCTGTCTGAATCTGGCAGAACCCTGTCCAATGTCCATGAACACTCCATTTATCCACTTATAATAGGCAACAGCTCTCCCTTACAGTCCCCTGAGCCAGCTGGGATTCGACAACCTTTCCTCCCTTCCCCCTAAGGGCCATCCCGATGCCTACGTCAGCCGCCATTCAACCTGAGCCCGACTAACCGGTGACCGTGAAGTCTGACTCTGCCACCCTCCAGCGCCTCCCATCAGAAATTCCTCAAACCCGGCGGGGCCTCCCGTAATGTATTCCTGCTAGTCGGACTCTCGTGTGTGACGTCACTCGTCCGAGATGACGCGGCCAGTGACGTCACCCGCACACTCAGCCTGACGCGGTGGTTGTCACTCATCCACTCGAGAGTTCTGCGCCCGCGGCTGATTGTGGAGGCCCCGACGGAATCACACGGGCCTCAGTCAGGTACTTCACAAAGTCTCATAGAATCCGCATCGTGGCGCAACCGTAGCACCCTGTGACGTCACCGCTAGTCTGTCGGCCCATCAGTGGCCTCCAGGAGTCACCGATTCATTTACGCAGAAGAAAAGAACGGGTTCTTTCCGAGCGACCCAGTCACCTGCGTACCGTCTGTGTCGTCACGGCTTCCACCACTGGTGTCACGATTGACAAACTCCCGAGTCAGTCAGTCAGCGGCACTCGGTATATTGCCGATCCTCGCTACAGGGCTATGTTTCAGGTCATGCAACAGTACGGCCACCACGGCCGCGTACAAAAATAACGTGTGCAAAATCCGCGCGGCCTTCCGCGGTGTCCCGGGGTAGCACCTTGGACCGAGGACACCAGGCCACGGATCACGGACACAGGACCGCGGACACAGAGAGTCCACGGAACACGGACCGTTCGCCACCCGTGGCCGGCAGTGTCGCGGGCGGCTCGCGCGCACCCATTGAGCAGACACATATTGCGCGCGGAGAGCGGCGGATCACAGTCTTGTAGCCGGGCGGAGCGGGCCGCAGCCGCGGCTCACCGCCCGCCCGGCTCTCGAGCACACGGTGTCACATAATATGGCAGCGGGGGCGGGCGGCGCCAGTCCGTCCGGCCACCCGCCCTCGGGCACACACGGTCAAAACACATACACAGGCATAAACACGATTCAATCGGGCGTAACACACAGTCAGCGTAAAGTCTCTCTCGCTCGATTACAAAACAGATATCTCGCTCTCTGAAAACGGTCGCGGCGCGACGCGCCTGAGCGCAGTACAAGTGATATAGTTCAAACGTCGGACGCACACGCGGACGGCAGCACCGGCGGTCGCGGCGGCTGGAAGTTTCGCCCACAGCTGTCCTGGCCTCCCGAGGGCATCACACATCACAATCAACTTGAAAGAGTTCACGTGTATCACGTGTATCAAATATGACTAAAATATGGTCGTCGTCAGCGGGCGCCGCGGCTGGCCGGCCGTGGTCGTCACGGGACGTAGTTCGCAGCGTCGGCCGCCAGGCGTCAGCACCTGTAACAGAGGAGAAGCCCGTCAGCGGTCGGCCAGAGACCAGGAAAACTAGATTTCGTGCCGGCACGGAGGCAGAAAGCGCCGGTTGTTCAAGGTCGCAGCCATCAGGTCTCGTGACTCATGGGAGGAGCTACCGCTAACAACATCAGACAGGCGCGCGAAAAAGACGTGCGAGATTGATTTATCACCAATTGTTTGGGGCGTGCCGTCAGCGTGCAAGGTGGCGTCGGTTGCACACCGGCCCTCATACGGCTCCCACGTCCAAAAGCAGCCATAGCAACTCAATTCGGAGACGCATGACGGCAGTGCGCCTCTCTACCGCGGTCTACCGATCCCCGTCGCGGTCGCACGTGTTCCGGTTTTCGTCCGGACGCTGAGCAGCGGGAGGGGGCAGAGAGGGGGAGGGTCACGGACGGTCGTCGGCCGCACGCAGACGCGACCGACCGCCCTCCGACCAGACAGGACGCCAGGCGACAGCTCGGTGGCACTGCGGCGCTGCGGTGCGTCACCGACAGAGAGATAAACATCCCTCCGACATCGCAGCGGCCACGGGCTACACTGCTCGGATTGATGATGGGCGAGCGAGGTTCAATACACTGAACCTAGCTGAGCACATGCAGCGAGCTGCACATCCCAGCAGGGAGCGCCTCTGCAGCCGCTCGGCCCGGCTGGTCTCGAGAGCGAGCGTCCTCAGCTCGCGGCGCGACCGGATGTCCTGGTGGAGCGACTCCCCGAAAACCGGTCGGCAGTCGCTCGAACCGGCCGCCGACACGGCTCAAACGGCTCCTGTGGATCGAATGCTGAGTGCTGACTGACAGCCCAACCCGCCACCGCCCGGCGTCAGACCGTGACGAGCGGCGCCGACTACGTTTGAGTGACTGGACGGCCGCCTGTCGGCACTAAGGCCGGTAAGCCGATATCCATAAAGGTGCCGCGCTCTGTGCCCTATTTTACGGCACGCTTCTGATTCAGATAGCCCATGCATGTTGTGACCTGCACCCGGACTGCTTGGGCTGGAGCCTTATGCCCCAGAGATGTGCGGGAGGTGCACGCCGCAGCACAGACCGAGCGGTGGGATGGGACGGTGGATGGAGATTGGAGAACGGTCGCCGGATGAGGCCGGCAGTCAAGGCCACACACCGGTCGGTCGCCCCGAGCCGCGGCTGACTGACCCGGGCTGGACGGAACTGCGGGGCTCGTCGAGCTCCTCAGGTGTAGCGGCGTGGGCTAGTCTTACCTAAGAAAACCACAACTGGGAGCAGTGGGGAATGATACGTAAATTTGTATATTACATAACGAGATCAAAATATAATCCGCGTCGGTAGAGAAACATGCTCTAACCGCCAAAGAGCGGGTCGACGATTAACTATGTTGGGTAACCCAAGTGCCAGCCTCTGACTGGATGGACGAGGTAGCGGATATCGTCGTCTAGGGAGCCGCGCAGTGATAAGCAACTGATTCCCGTCCGGCAGTATGACTGATTATACGAGATACGGATGTCCGTGGGGGACCGGGATGACTGAGTACGGAGTTCCGTGGAGTCGGAACTGATGGGAGGACGCCGTGCCTTGGGACGGCCGCCGGAGAGCAGACGTCAACCGATACCGCCCGCAGGACGGACCGCGGCCAATTTCACGGCCGGTCTGACCCGTAAACGATGGCACGGCGCCGGCCACCGCGATAGTCCGGTGACTTACAACCGGCGCCGCTGGAGGCATATAGGGAGCGCGGTGAGGGGCCTCGGTATCAATCACGACAGGCGCACCCGGCAGAGATGAAGAGGCAATACACAATCGACCAATCACTCTGACAGTGTGCAAAACAATACCGAGTATCGATACAGGATGGCGATGAACGGCGCAACACTACTCGGTCCAAAGTGCGGACAGAATGAGGCCTGTAAAGAGTATCAAGAGGGGAATACGAACGAGAAAAGAAAGGCGACTCAGCGCGTTTTCGGGCCTGACACGCACCGCACGCCGAGTGGAGCCCTGCGCCCGACGGACTGAGCTCGTGCCGCCAGACAGTTTTACTGCCTGGTCAGACAGCCGGCAAACATGTTCCCGTATCTCGGGGCGCCGATCATTACCGGTGAAAGGCCGCCGCTGCCGTCTCCGATACTGATCGCACCGAGAACAGACCACACCGCCCAGTGCGCGCCATGAGCGCATTGCGCCACGACAGGGGGTCGACATGGCGCATTTTTCAGAATCGCCGCCGCCGTTGTCGCTGGTTGCACAAGAGGAGCAGGGCGGTGGAATGCGCTGTCTGTGCTGTTTTATGTCTCGCAATCTGGAGACGACACAGTGCCACTGTCACCGGCAGCGGCGACGTCGTCGTCGGGCCGGTACTATAGATAGAGATCGGCGCGCGAGGACCAGGGACAGGCACACAATCCCCATTATGGTGGCCGAACCGGGGCCTCCAGGAGCTGTGAAACCATAGGCATCACTGCGCCGCTGGGTCTCTGAACCCCGAACCTACAGGTTCGTCCCCCCGGTGGGCCTCCATAATGCGAGGTTCGGCGGTCCCCGGTGCCCCCGACTGGCCGGGACGCCGCCGATCCACCCACCGGGTACAGAGAGCTCACTGAGCGATCGGTGCCGATAAGATAGCATGGGCCACGTCTCCTCACGGCGCAGAGACGACCGTCGAGCTCGGTCGACAGGGGATCTAACTGGCCGTCCTCACGAGGGCTTAGCCAGAGCCGCCCGCTCTCCCTACCTGATAAGGTCGCACTGGCATCCGACATCTAATGGAGCTATGAAGGACGTGATGTGGAGAGTACTAAGTCGTGTTATGTATTGTATCTGCGCTGTCTAAAAATAAACTACATGACACATCAGCTTAAAAGATGGCAGATTGAGTAGGATTGTCACAATGCATATGTTGACACGCAGATAACTCATATATAGTGGTCTGCGGTTGGCGGTTAAATGAATTTGTAACCTTATATCATGGGTAAATCTCTCGGATATTTTCCACACAATGTAGGATGATCAAATATCTGATACAAATACGTTAGAATACAGTCAGCCACTTTCTGTCACTTCGAAGAAGTTCGGCCAGCGCTTTCCACGAGCGCAGACAATAGTCTGCCGTATAAATATCACGCCAACTGCCCCAGCGGCGGCGTAGTAGCGGTGCTGATCGGGGTTTCCACCGTCGGCGTGCCGTGACCGCCGTGACGCTGACCGTGGTAGCGATACAGACGACGATTAGCCACATCAACGGACGATTATCCGGCTTCCACGGCGGCCGCCGCAACGGCAAGACGCAGGCAGTGCCGTTGACCAAAGGGCAACAGACGATCATTTCCATTCCTCTGACAAAATGACGCCTCATCCGACTGACCGAGGATGGGCCAATGGCCGACTTGGAATGGAAGGCCGCGCCCCCGGCCCCGTCCCTGCAATCCGTGCCCAGCAGTAGAAAAGCTCACCGCGTGGCTCGAGCGAATCGGTCGGACGGCGGTGAAAAGGAAACCGAACAATAAAAATGCCTGCACAACATTGGAATCCGTTCCTGGACCTGCACCCCACTTGGAAAGGCTTTCGATGAATACAGACGGCTCTTTTGAGCTGTTTTCTTCATAGCGTGCGCTTTGTTGCAGGCAAGGTTTTGTGATAGGTTCCATAAACATTTGTTAACTTAGTATTATGGCAGACTGCTAGCGCCGGCAAACCAAGTGCATTCTGTACTCGACGGGAAGCGGTAGTTCGCTTGTGGTGGTCGGTAGGCTGATACCAACACCAGCTCCAGGAACGTTGACCACCGGTATCAAACTTCCAGCTACATATAAATAATCAGACATGATTGAGTTTTATTCACGATCGATGGCAACACAAGTCAAATTCCTAAAACCAGACGTTTCGGCCACAGGGTGCCTTCGTCAGTGGACACTAGTGATTAAATTAAAAACACATAATCAAAAACAATCGGTATAAATCGTTCGAAGTCGACACATCGGGCACAGGTTTCGAAATGCATTCTTTGGTTCAACATTAAAAACCTAAATTGAGAACGGCATTCATCACGCTATTGTTCTTGTCGCGTTCTTTTGATATGCTGAAAATTAAATTATATAATGAATGTACCTACAGGTCACAATGTCAATGTCGGACATAACGAAGCAGTCGACTGCTGCGTTTTACTGCTCCCAACGCGGGTGGCGGGTACCGCTCGATGACTAGTGAGGGGTATATGGATGACTTAGTATTTAGTAAGTCAATCAATCATATCCATAGCATTCCTTCCATTGTCAGTCACCTTCAAACCGTCACAAGGATGATGTTCTGGTTCAATTGAGACCTAACCGTCGCCCCATCACGGCACCGGAGTGGTGCCCATCACCGGCCCGTTCCAGCCACGTGCTAGTGGCGGCATTTCCTGCAGTGGGGCCCGACAGGGACGCGCCCGGTCGGCACGCGCTGTCCAGGAACCCACGGCACCAATAACCGGCTCCAGCTCAGCGGAAGGGCTGAGCTGTCCGGCCGACGTCACCGCCGCCGCCGGCGCTGACTGGCCCAATGTGTGCTGACTGGGTCGGTTGACCCAGCCACCGACTAACCTCAGAAGTCATGAGGGCTGATTGAGAAAGGAGAAGACTGACATCGGCGAAGGCTATGGCCGATCGATGGGAATGAAGAGTAAAGACATGACCGCGCGGTGATGCATGATTTCCCCGCCGGAAGGGCCAGTCGCGCGGAGACGAGCACAGCGGCCGGTGAGCTGGCGCGGCGACACTCCCTGCGTCGGGCAGACGCTGCCGGACCGGTGATGTCGACACCAGGCTGCATTCCTTCCGGTCACGACTCGCATGCAACGGAAGACATTCTACGGATTCACACCTTGACGACGGAAGTCCCCTGTGACGTTCCATGGCGTTGTGCAATGCCTCTCGACATCTCTAAGTTATTCGTGGGGAAGCCCGCTCTGGCGGTTGATGACCACAGACATATCCACCGTGTGCCCCATCCGTCCGGCACTACTTGGACCCG